GGGGGGGGGGGGGGGAGTCAGAAATAAGACGGGAGAGAGAGATTTTCCCTTTGCCGCAGCGTTTTCGGCGGTTTTGTGACAACAGCGCCACCACACCTTACCGTCCACGCTGGTGGTGTGAAGAACAACGCGCTGTCGTGATCAAGAATAGTGGGCGGATACTATTAGCGCTGCGTTTCGGGCGTGGGAATCGACTCATACTAACAGAAAAGCCCTACAACCTTAAATTTAAAACCAAAAATCCTCCGCATACTATATCCCCCCTAGCAATGGTCTAACGACTACGGCATGCACGACTATGAGTACACCCCCTAGCAGTGGACACACGTCCATGTTACGCTACCCCCTACGTACAACATTGTATCCGTACCATTTTCAATCCTTTCAAAGAGCGCTTCCTGCTCTCGCCAGTGCCCTTCCAGCAGACCCTCTCCACTACAGCCAGGATCGTTGTCTTGGCGCGATGGCACGAGGGGGAACAATGCCGCAGAGTCCGCCAGGCCTTGGAGAAAGCAGTAAGCGTCGAATCGGATCGGATCTGGCAGACGGAGGGCGATCTTGCAGAGCGCCGACGCACACGTAGAGCGGGTCTGCGCGATAGCCAGACAACCAGCAGCACGATAGCATACGCAGGGGATCAACGGATGAGGCGGCCGAAATTGTGGGACCAAGGGAAGTCAAGGCAGGGTTAAACTGACTTCTCGCGAAACAAATAAAACTACATGATTTATGCAAAGGCTTCACTTGGTCTACCCCCCCCATGAGGTATATTTTTGTTGTATGTATCTCGAACGGGTGGAAGGGAGCTGTTTTGATACATTCGATGATCACAGCGTGCCAAACCATTTCAAACGAGTGTTGAAAAACCTAGTGGGCCAACCTAGCCTTGATCGGACAAGCATCAACACGACAAGCCCTCGCAGAGCCAAATAATACCTTCCATCAATCCTACCCTCACTCACGCCACGCACCTGGAAGTCCTCAAACATCGCGGCGTGCTTCAATCGCATCAGGATGGATATCGTCGCCCCGTTCATCCCCGATACCACAGGGTGCGCCTCGGCGCTCGCCTCCGCTCCCATGTCCCCGAGACCCGCCGGGAGCCTGCCCGTTCCACCCTTTGTCGGGCTAGGCACAGGAGATGTCCAGACGTCGAGCAACTCGTTCCCGCCGGTTTCGGCTGGAGGTGGACTTTGGTCGGGGTTTTGCGATGACTCAGCTGGTGCTCCCGTTAGCTGGCAGCAGTACTCACCGAGGAACCAAAAGGCGGAGCGCTTGAGCCTGACGTTTGTTTTTCGCGAGTCCGCCATGCGGTGAAGTGGCAAAGAGGGGAGACGACACAGAGAATCTCATGCCGCGATCTTTCTGTGTCCCGAAAGCGGCAGTCCAATAGGTGAGCCCCTTGAACAAAACATTTCCCCCACGGCACTCACGGCCACGATGACCACCGCAGCAACGACGACACTGTCACATGGCATGAGACAAAAGCACTGAAACAGCAAGAACAAAAACCACACGCCTCTCGTCTCATCACAGTGTTAAACACGCTCAGTGAGCGCCTGGCCTCACCTCGTAGCTGCGCTCTTCGTTCTGAGATACTTCAATCTCGGCGTCTCGCTCGGGTCTCCTCCCGCACCCCCCCCCCCGGCGTTACCCCAGCGGGACGCCTCATCGCCGCCAAGTATCATCGACACGCCGTTTAAGCTAGTAGCAAACCCGCTGCTACCGCTGCTTCCACCCCCGCTTACGATAGTCGGCGGTATCCTGCCCGGCTGGCTGCCGTCCTCCGACCCTGAGGAATTCCAAGCAAGGAAGTATCGGGGCGCGTGCGAGAGACTAAGCGCCACCGGACGTGATGCACAGGTGAACTTAATCGTCTCCGGCACACCGTCATCGACACACACACAGAGCTGTCAACCAAGGCAACAAACACAACCCATTCTTACTGTGATCGACTAAATCACTCGGGCAGGCGTAACGGGAAGCCCCATTTGCCATGCTGCTTGCAAGACCGCCACTTTCCACTTTCGTTTGCTTACCCTGTGCCCCTCCCGTCGAGATCGGCTGCCGGGTCCAGTCTTCACTCGCCATCCCCCTCACGTGACGGGCCGCTCCTCCTCTATCACCAACACTGCCGGTGCTGGCGCGATCGTTCGCCGCAGACGCGAACGCCGTGCGCGGGTTGTCGGGCGGCAGGGCGATACTCCTGCCAAGATAACGACAACAAATGACCAGCGAGATAACGCACACGACGACGTGTTGTTACCGTTCGGCTCTCACCCAATCGCCGCGCCCCGCGTGCAACAACTAGCCACAGGTGTCTTCGTTGCTGTTTTGTTCCTCTCTGCGATGTTAAACATTGTTAGGCACCGGATCGCGCAACACATGCGCAGCATTATATCAACGAGGCCACAAATGCGCCAATCATCGTGGAAGGTGGGGAAGCACACCACGCTATACACATACATGAGATGAGGGTGTGAACGCGCCCTTGCGATTTCGGCTCACCTATCGAGGATGCGGTACACCGACTGAAGCACCGATTCGCGCGCCCGCCCCCCATATCCGGCACACTGGCACCACGCCCTCAAAACGCAGCGCCCCATTTCCTCGCTCGGCACCTGCAAGCAGACACGGCATATCAACAAGGCAGGAAAAAGAGACAAGACAGGACCCACTGACGATGAGAGCCTCGTATGCGTACGAATGGAACGGGCTGCCGCCACGCCACAGCGGGTAGCCGTGCGAGTCGACCGCCTGCGCGACGACAGGGTGGGGTAGAACACCACATGGCCGAGCCGGCTTGCGAGCGACGCCCAACAACGCTCTCGGCGACGTGATCCGCAACAAAAAAGCTAACGCCGAGACACCGTGAGTTGGACCCCGAGAAGCATCTGTCCCCCTCTCGATTCTCCGGGCGTCTGGGTCACCCTCCTGCCCCTCACAAAAACAGGCTTCACCCGAAACACACGCGAGAGGACAAGCACCGCACCGAAGGGCGAAATCTACTTCAAGTCCTCCCAGCTCGCTCGTCGACCCAGGGAGGCGTCTTGACCGCCTTCGCGAGAAATTAATTTCACGAGGAAACAGAACATGGAGGGGGTACGCAGACCCTATCCCCAACCCTAAACCAACTTCCCCGATTGCATGCTTCTTCCCAACATGTCAACTTGTAGAAAAACCCTGTGAAGTCTACTGCGTATTGGATTACTTCCCGGTGCCGTCTTCTCTCTTCTCACCTGGTACATGAAGCTCTCCGTCAGAGCGAGGGCGATCGGGATCACCTCTTCCCGGCTGGTAGCGCTGCACTGGACCCGCGTGAGCAGGGTGTCCACCAGTTCGCTAAGGACAGTGTCCGGGAGGGTGGAGGGGCACTGCTCGACTCTTTGCTGCAGCCAGTCCCACAGGCCTCGGAGCTGCGGGTCCAGCGGCGAAGGGTCTGGCACCAACAGGAACATAGCCTGGCCGTCGGATTGATTGTTCGCGAGAAGGGGGCAGGAGCACACGGCAAGTTTAAGGAACATGCTTGTAGAGGGGTCAGTGCACCACCAACTTTGCAACAGGCTCAACAGCGACGGCGATCATGCACGTAGGCTGTCCCTCAACAAACAAAGTGGGGGAAAAGCTGACTTGAGCAAATCTTAGGCTGACGAAAAGGTGCAGGTGGCTAGCGAGTCACAACACCGACTACTGCTGCCTGTCCTTTCCGATCTCTCCCACCTCGAGGGCAAGGCTGCGCACGTGCAGATGCGGGCTCTCCAGCAGCCTGTGTTGCTGCAGCGCGCGGCACAAGTCTCTGATCGCCGCCGTGTTCTGCTCTTCCACCACCTGCTCAAGGACACACGACACAAAGACACACAAAAACGGAGGCGTTTTCGAACGTGGGCGGTACGGAACAAGAACCGCCATAAAACGGTAACAAATAACCGTCCCACAGTCCCACCAGCCTTACAACATTGGTACCATGGCATTTCAAAGCAGCACGGATGTGCTTGTGGTGGGGGGCCCGAGGTTGGTTCCGGCAGACTTCAAAGCAGCCAGTACTAATCAGAGCGGTGCTCTGAGGTAAACAAGAGTAAAAAATACGCACACGTACGTATCCCGCCACCCTTGCCGCCAAGAACACCTCCGGGCGGAGATGAGAGGAGGAAAGCCAGTTAGGGGGAAGCGGGGACACAATTACTGCTGGATTTGCCTTCCGGTAATGCGCAGCCTGCCGTCGACGACATACATGTCCCTCAAGAAAACAAACCTACTGCACTAAGTACAACCCTACAAGGACCTACGGTCGGGAAGAGACGCAAGGAAGTTGACATGGCAGTATCGCATGTGCGGGATGGGAGAGGAGAGGTTGCCGAGAATAGTATGGGAGGCGAAGTGGGCAAACAAAAAGAGGGGTACAACCCACGGAATGGGTCAAGGTTGTGGAGGACGTATGGAAGGGGTTGGACATCGACGAAACGCTGGAAACGGAGGGTCGACAGGGGTTCAAGGAGAAGATATCTGTTGCTTGTGCCGAGAGAGAAGAACAGAATCTAAGGAAAGAAACCGAGGATAAGGAGGGTCGAGAAGTGTACGGAATGTTGAAAGAAGGAATAGGGTTCAAGGATTACCTACATGGACCAATGGATGCAGGGACAAAGCTTAAGGCCAAATTCAGCACCGGGGACATAGGCCTTCGAGAACATCGACGAAGACATAGGACGGTAGACGACGAAGACGACAAGTTCAAATGTGATTGCCGCTTGTAATCGCTGAATGTCCGAGGTACGAAGAGGAGAGGGAAGTGTACATGAGCTGGGGAAAATAGAAGGGAGGTACAGGGAGATGTTTGAGGCATGGAATAGAGAGGAGAGGACGGTAGCTGTACTGGGGAGTAGGAAGTGGTTTGAAAAGGCGGGAAGGGACATCGTTAGGACAGACAGACTAGGGAAGACATTTTTGAGCAACCTTTGGCAAAGTAGGAAGGAACGATTGGCCATCGGTGATCGGTCCTGTGGGAACACTGCTCCTTCCTCTCGAGGACGCGTGGTCAACGGTCTAACGACTACGGCATGAACGGCTAAGAGTACCCCCCCCCCCCCCCCGCCCGAT